AAAATGAGGACCTAATGTCGGGGGTTTAAATGGAGAGAAAATGTTTTGAGAAACGATGTACAAATGCGCTTTAAACAATTGATGTGTGTATGGATTGGGATAACAGTTGTATGAGCCCCTAATAAAATGTTAAAAAAAATAAAATAAAATAAAATAAAATGGCATTTCAAGGGGGAAAATGACAAAAAATTTTCTATTAAAAGAATAAAAAAAACAAAACAAAACAATAACAAAGTCAACAACAATAACAAAATAAAACACAGGAAAAGCTCAGTCCAAAGGTAGCAGAAAATAATAAAAACTAGAAAAACTTAAAATGGTTTATAGGGAAAGCAAATGATAAGATGTTAAAATTTAACCTAATTATTTCTGCAGTAACCTACTTTCCAGTGTACTTTGTCTGAAGGCAAGGCTATTCACTACTCTGATCAATGGTGAAGTAATTTAATGAAGGTTTAATCCTCGTGAGAACTCTGCAAATGGATTTTGGGCTTTCACTGTCATCCATAACCTTCTGAAAACTAGATCTCAGAATTTAAGCTCTAATACAATTCCCCTCTCTGATCTTGAATTTTATTATTTACAATCCTTGTATCACTCAGGCTGGTGTGCTTTTTCATTTGGACTTGGCTGGCACCTCGCTTTAAATGGCTGCTTTTTTTAAAAACAAACTTTCAGTACCCAAGACATAATTCTGATAGCCAGGTACCATCTGAATTCTTTACCACACCCTTCATGAGGGTAAAGTATCGAGTAGGGCCACATCCTAAACACCAATTGTTCTTTTGTTAAGGATTGCTTCATTTCTGACAAAGTATTTGAAAATAAATACATAATGTGGACTTGTATTGGCCAAGGAGAAGCAAGTCCACTAGAGCATATCTCTCCAGCATAATTAAAATGCTGGGTTAAAAAAAAATTTGTTCACTACCCAAGAATGCTGAAAAGTCAACAATAGTAGGCAGATTGAAGAGAGGAGTAACAACATCAAGAATCAACTTGCATATAGGAATGAATAACCTTGCTTTTGTTTTCTTCTTCTTTTCCCCCCAGCTTTGACCCAAGAGTGGTCCTCATGACAAAAATGCACAATGGGCGCATGCAGCAAAATTTCTCAAAGATTCGCTGTCTTTGTGGCCAGAGCACTCAAGAAAAGGAGTCCCTGTTACCCGAAAAGTGTAACAGGGAAGCTCTCTCTCTCTCTCTCTCTCTCTCTCCAGGGCCTACTCAAGGGTGACCCCATTTCAAAAGTCCACAAGAGCACTGCAGAGAGCTAGAACTCTGAGATATATTCTATATTTCAGGGTAGAAATCAGAAATAGGGAACCCTATAGTCTGAAGTGTGTGTGTGCATGTGCGTGTGCATGTGTGTGTGCACGTGTGTGTGTGTGTGTGTGTGTGTGTGTGTGTGTGTGTGTGTGTAAGAGAGAGACCCCTGTAACTCTTTCATTCTCTCTCTCCACTTTGTCCCAAGAAAAACCCCTGTTTCTGGTCAGAGAACCTGGAAAATTTATATCCGAAAGACAGAAGAGTATGAGGCGAACCTTAGCAAGAAGAAGCTGGAGGAGTGGACCCTCTGATTCTATATACAAGGGGTACCCAAAAACACGCTGGAATTTTTTTCCCAAAGCTATGTATTTAATTTTTTTTTTTACAAAACACCCTTATCACATACCTTCAAAGTACTCTCCACTACACTTAATACATTAGGCAAATCTGCTATTTCATTCTTGGAAACATTTTTTAAATTCATCTGTTTGGATAGCAGACACTACCTCCCTTGTTTTTTTCTTCACCTCTTCTACATCATCAAATCGCTGTGCTTTCATGTCTGTCTTCATTCACAGAAACAAAAAGAAGATGCACGGAGCCAAGGTCAGGTGAGTAAGGTTTGTGGGACAAGAGAGGCATGCTGTTTTTAGCCCCAAACTGGCACTGAGATGGCTGTGTAAGCAGGTGCATTGTCGTTGTGGTGAAACCAGTCCCCCATCTGCCACAAATCAGGCCTTTTTTTGTCACACATTGTTTCCCAATCTTTTTAGAACCTTTAAATAGAAAGCTTGAGTAACAGTCTGACCTGGTGGATCAAACTCCAAATGCACTATCCCCCTCACATAAAAAAAAAAAGAGCATCATCTTGACCTCTGATTTCTCTTGATGCGCTTTTTGGGGCCAAGGTGACAATGGTGTTTTTTCCAATGGCTTGATTGATGTTTGCTTTTGGGCTCGTAAGAATAGCACCATGTCTATCACCTTGGTGGAAAAATGACCTTGGCGGAAAAAATCTGGTCACTTTGGAGCTGTTCTTTCAAAGCAGCTCTTTTTCCAAGTCATTCAGAACCAGGGGCATAGATTTCAGAACAACCCTTCTCATTCCCAAATCTTCCATTAACATTCGCTGAACCAAGCTCCAAGACGGTCCAGATAGCGTCTCCATGTCTGCAAGGGTCTGTCGGTCTTTGAGCACACGCGCGAATTTTGTTGACATTTTCACCTGTTCAGTAAGTTGATGGATGTCCAGAACAAGGTTTGCCATCAATCAACATTTCACTTTTTTTGAAACCAGAAAACCATTTGTATACACTTGAGTTTTTCCCATTGCACTCTTTGTAAGCTGAAATGAAATATCTACTGGTTGCACTCAATAGTATAGTGGAGAATACATAGAAATGGATCAGTCGGGGGATGGACAACAGAAACGTTGGTGAAGGGAGATAGCGGATGGTATAAGATATAAAAATAATAATAATTCATAATTTAACAAGGGTTTACGAGAGTGGGAAGGAAAAAAGAGATGCTGATACCAAGGGCTCAAGTAGAAAGAAAATGCTTTGAAAATGATGATGGCAACAAATGTACAAATGTGCTTGGCACAATGGAGGGACGTATGGATTGTGATGAGATGTAAGAGACCCCAATAAAACAATTTTTAAAAAAAAGAAAGGAAGAAAATGACGATGGCAGCATATGCACAAATGTGCTTCATACAATTTTGTGTGGATCGTTATAAGAGCTGTAAGAGCCCCCAGTAAAATGATTTTTTTAAAAAGGAAAGCAAGAAGGAGAATGTTGTCATGGAATGGAAATAAAGGTGATAGGACAAAAAGAAAATGAAATGGATCAGTGAACTACTGAAATATGATCAACAGAAATGATCCAATCTAAACAACAGAGGGAAAAAAGTTGGGGGTTAAAAGATCCGCTGGGACTTGTGGGAGACCATTAAAAGATCCACCTTTTGTAGTCATAAAGTCCCAGAAAGAGAGGAAAAACAGACCAGTGCAGGAAAAAATTACTAAATGCAAAAATGACTAAAAAACCCCCCTCAAATTTGATGCAAGATATACACTTTCAGATCCAAGAAATCTCAGAGGCTCAGGATAGCAAAAGTCACCTCTATGCTATCCCAGAAAGGACGGCAGAGTGATGCATTTGGTTAGTGCTGTTACTCTAAGTTTGTCTAATTCTGAAAACATATGTCACATCATCCTTAGAAAATCGTCTCATCCCTGTCTAAAACTGTTGGATTGATTATATAACTTGGTCTGCCTTCTGTTTTTCTCCTGATCACATGAGGCTGGCCAGGGGCCTGCATGCTCAGGTGTATGGAATATACCATATATACTTGTGTATAAGCTGTTTTTCACCATATTTTTTAATGTAGTTTTTGCGATAAAATTAGGTGCCTTGGCTGATCGTCGGGCCAGCTTATACTAGAGTATATACGGTAATCGCCTATCTCATTTATCAACAGTTGACTTTTAAAACCGCCAATGCCTATCATTACCTTTCATCTATTACTGAATAGTTACTTAGCAACTAGAAATCATTTCTCAATTGCAAAGCGTACTGAACCTTGTTTATCTTCATTCTTGGGGATTTTGTCGCTGACGAGTTTCCCACGACGTCTTTTGGTAAATTCATCTGAAAATGCCTGGAGAGACAAGCACAGTTTTGACCACTACAATCCCCAGAAAACGCAAGCCTTTAATCATCGGTCTTTAGATCCAACATGCACACAAATTGTGAAAAACCCATTGCTATTGAGTCGGCTCCAACCCAACCCTAAAGCGACCCTACAGGACAGAACAGACTGCCCCATTGGATTTCCAGGCTGAAGAATGTCTGGAAGCAGATTGCCCTGTCTTTCTCCCATTGTGCAGCTAGTGAACTTGAACCTCTGACCTTCTGGTTAGCAGCGAGCACTCCAATGACTGTGCCACCAGAGATCCTTGCATACATATTTAAAAGAGAACACTTTTTCAAATATAAATCATTTTATTGAGAGTTCAAACCCACCAGCTGCAACAAGGGAAGAAGACTAGGCTGTCTGCTCTGGTAAATATTTACAGCCTCAGAAACTATGAAACACTTAACTCTGTGCTATGGGGTTGCTATGCATCACATCAGAATTGGCTTGATTGCAGTGAATTTCATTTTGAGAGGGTGAGCTCTTCTTGTGTGCCGGGCACTGTGTTAGGTAGCAGATGTATAACAGAGACGGGTTACCTTTCCTTGCCATTCTCAGCATTTAATGCCTCCCATTTAGTTAGTTTATTGGGTATAAATCTTGATTTCCAAATAGTTTTGATTTACAGGAAGAAATGGAACTACTCAACCTGTTCCATCATCCATATCATTTCACATGATGCAAGTCCCAGGGAGGTTGCTACAAAGAATTTTCTGATTCAAAGCTACTGTACAGGTCAACTAAGTGGATCATGTACCGTATATACTTGAATATAAGCCAATCCGAATATCAGCCGAGGCACCTAATTTTACCACAAAAACTGCATCAATGATGTGCTGAAAAACTTGGCTTATAAGGGAAATCTCTTGCAATCTTGAATTATGTGAATATCATGAAACTGTCCACACACTTCATAAGGTCCATTCCAAAGGGTTGTGAGGGCTTGGAGGACGGTGGTGATGGCTTAGAGAGCTCATGGTGACATGGCAAATCCCAGTCCAGAGTACCACCCACAGCTGGTGCTCAGTAAATGTGAGCTGGCAAATGAATTTGCTATGACTAAAGACGGTTCCAGCTCTACCCCATTCTAACCATGACCTTCAGTGATATCCTACCCTGGCATTTTCCTATTGATGGGGCTCTAACTGGACTTTTATTATGCATTAGGATTTCTTTGTCCACACAAAAGAGCATTCTATCTATCTAAAAGGGCTTAAGGGTTATATCCACACTGTTGCAATATGTAGGCTGTGTTTAAATTCTGACTCAAACCAATTAGTGGTACAAGCAAAATAAAGCAAAAATAAATAAGTTGGAAATGTGAACATTGACTTGATCATTGAGGAAATAAGTATTTTATCCATTTCTTTCAGGTTTGGTATAGTATTGTAGTTACATCTCTTTTTTAAAAAAATTTTTATTGCTTAAAATAAATACTGTGGGAAGGTGAGGGAGAAAGGGGGGCAGATTACAAGGATCTATATATAACCTCCTCCCTGGGGGACGGACAGCAGAGAAGTGGGTGAAGGGAGATGTTGGATGGTGCAAGATATGACAAAATAATAATAATTTATAAATTATCAAGGGTTCATGGGGGAGAGGGGAGCAGGGAGGGAAGGGGGAAAATGAGGAACTGATACCAAGGGCTCAAGTAGAAAGCAAATGTTTTGAGAATGATGATGGCAACAAATGTATAAATGTGCTTGACACAATGGATGTATGTGTGGATTGTGATAAGAGTTGTACAAGTCCCCGATAAAATGATTTAATTATTTAAAAAAAACAAACCACTGAATTATTTATGGGTGAGAGCTATGTATGGGATTTCTTCAATATGGAAGAAGAGGAAATAGGTAGAAATAAAGATGAGATAATACTGTCCATAAGATAATAATTATTAAAACTGAGTGATGGGTGCAAGAGTGCTAATTATACATTTTTGTTGATATTTTGTATGTTTTAAGTTTCCATTAATAATAAATTTTTTATATCCATAATTCATCTGAAATTTGCGATGCTATTGTAATGGTTTACCCTACTCCCTTACATTTCCACATGAACAATACTTGAAAGAAGCACTTTATGAGAGCAAGAAGACATCTGAGAACACTAGGGCTGAGTTGCCAAAATAACCAGAAACAAGTGAGACTTTACCTGAATATTTTCATGATCGCTTGGGTGCAACAGAAAGTGTACTTCTTCTACCGCTTTCAGTTGCTGCGTGCTGCTAAATTTTAACACTTCTGAAACAATTAATTCGGCAAAAATGGTTTTAGGAAATCCCAAATTTCCTGTTCCGATAGCTGGGAATGTAATTGATTTTACTGACAAGTACTCAGCGTTCTCCAAACACCTTGTGATTAAGTCTTCCATAATCTGAAAAGCACAAAGCACATGCTTATAAGTCGTGACTGAGAAAGAGGAATTAAAACAAAAAGAACAAGAATTGAGCAACTTTGACTATGATATCTGTCTGTTCCTTTTTGGTTTAAACAGAGGCTGTGGGCAGTCAGAAAGGGAATTTTAAAAAATGCAAGAGCCAAGGGGAAAGGGAAACGAGAATAATAGAGACTCTCCACAAAGATTCAAACTCACTCAAGAATGATGGGGGGACTCCTAATTCTGCCCTAATGGATCATCTTCAAGAACCCTCTCCTGAGGAGCCCCGACCATTTTTGAGAACTCACATGAAGATCTATTATACTTCAGTCTTCAGAGAAGTCAGCTATAGCTGAAATAAATTGCCATAACGCTGCCAGGAATGTGGCCTGATTACACAAGCGTAACAGATATGTTCCAATCTCCAGTATACTGAGGGAAGAGTCCAAAGGAGTGCCCAATTTCCTGAAGAATCAAAAACCAGCTTCTACCTTCCGAGATGATGCGTCGTTGGCCCACGCTGGAGGCACCACATGAAGCACATGCTGGCAGTGTAGTTGATGACCACGGGTTGTCAGTATTGTGCCATCACCGACGAGAACCCCTTGTCCGACTTGGTTCAATTCCACCTGGAGCTGTGGCCCAGCTTTTTCTAAGAGAGCCCGAGAAAGGGGCCCTCTATCAAGCCCAAGGTCCGTGGAAATGGAGTTGACAACAACATCAGTCTAAAGACAAAAGCATTTGTTTCAAATTCTAGCAACAGCATTCATCAAAATTTATTGTATTTGAACCACTGATCTTGCACAACGGGAAAATACTGTAAGGCTTAGGGTTTCATAGATCAAGATGTCTAAAAAGTTAATAATCACAAGGCTTTCAAAACCCTGCATGAATGGGGAGCTGATATCAGGGGCTCAAGTGGGAAGAGAATGCTTTGAACATGATGATGGCAGCATACATGCAAATGTGCTTGACACAATGGATGAATGTATGGAATGTAGTAAGAAATGTAAGCGCCCCCAATAAAAGTACTTAATAAAAAAATAATCTGAGAGGCTGAACTATATAAGAATGTAACTTCAAAAAAAAAAGAAAAAAAAAGAATGTAACTTCAATATCGGAGTAAGTCTCATTAACAAATTGCTGTAGACAGGGATTTGGGGTTTCAAAGGATAAGCTCCACTCTTGGTTTTTCTCACTAGTAAGATCCTCACCCCTGTTGTGGCATGTCCTTCCTTGCTGATGGGAAAGACTACCTGAAATATTTATGGAATGAACAGACAGCATCACCAAAAGTGGAGACAAGATGAAGGTTGTCAAAATTTAATTTTACCTGAATTCCCCAATCAATTCCCATTGAAACAACAGCCAAGAGATCAAATGGCATATTGCATGGGGTAGATTTGCTTCAAAAGATCCTTTACGTTTTGAAGTGTGAAGTTATTATTTTTAAGACTAAGGTGTGTCTGATCCAAATGTTTTATTGGTAATTAATGCCCATGAAAATTGGAAATTGACTAAAGAAGAGAAATTGTAAGTATACATCTTTGAATTACAGTATTTGCAAAAAAAACTAAAACTACCATCAGCATTGGAAGAAGCGAGCATAGTGAGATCTCCTCTCCTGTACTTTGGATATCTCATCAGAAGGGAACAGTCCTTGGAGAAAGGCAACATACTCTCTAGGTAAAGCAGCAGATCAACAAAAAAAGAGGAAGACCCTCACAAAATGGATTGACAGTCACTCCAATATACGAATGAATGATTATCAAAATGACAGAGGACTAACATTTCTTCCCCTCCCTCCCCTGCCCGCCCTTCCTCATGAACCCTTGATAAGTTATAGATTATTTTCATATCTTACATTGTCCTCTGTTGCCCCTCACCCATTTTTCCATTATTCATCCCCCTGTGAGGGGGTTATAAGTTGATCCTAATGACCGATTTCCCCTCCCCCCACACACACACTCTCTTTATCCTCCTGGTATCTCTACTCTCATTGTTGGCCCTGGGGGATTTATCTATCCTGGATTCCCTGTGTTGCAGGCTCTTATCTGTAGCAGTGGCATGTTCTGGTCTAATCCAATTTGTAAGGTAGAATTGAGGTCATGATAGTGGGGGAAGGAAGCACCAAAGAACTAGAGGAAAGTTGTGTGTTTCATCAGTGCTATACTGCACCCTCACTGGCTCATCTCTTCTCTGTGACCTCTCTGTGAGGGGATGTCCAATTGTCTACAGATGGGCATTGGGTCTCCACTCCATGCCACGGCCCCCCACCACCACCTCCATTCACATTGGGTATGATTTTGTTCTGGGTCTTAGATGCCTGATACCTGATCCCATCGACACCTCATGATCACCCAGGCTGGTGTGCTTATTCCATGTGGGCTTTGTTGCTTCTCAGCTAGATGGCCACATGTTTATCTTCAAGCCTTTAAGACCCCAGACCCTATATCTTTTGATAGCTGGGCACCTTCAGCTTTTTTCACCCCACATTTGCTTATACACCTATTTTTGTCTTCAGCAATCGTGTCGGGAAGGTGAGCATCACAGAATGCTAGAGACAAACTAAGACTTGTCAAAAAAAACAATATATAAAATGTTATGGGACTGCTAAAGGAATCCAGAGAATAAGTCGTGTGTGTGTGTGTGTGTGTGTGTGTGTGTGTGTGTGTGTGTGTGTGTAAAATGTAGCCCTCATACATTGCTGATGAGAATGTAAATTGGTGTAACTATTTTGGAAAACAATCTGGTGGTTCATCAAGATGTGGAAAAGCAGGATAAACAATCCTGAGGAGAAAACAACGAGACCAATGGTTCCAGGGGGACATGGGGGAGGGGGAGGCAGGGGAAAAGAAGGAGGGTGTCAACAAACCCAGGGACAAAAGAACAAGTGATCTAAAATAAATGGCGAGGAGGACATAGGATGCCTGGTGGGGCTTGATCAAGGGCAATGTAACCAAGAGAAATTACTGAAACCCAAATGAAGACCAAACATGATAGTGGGACAAGAGGAAAGTAAAAGGAAATAAAGGAAAGAACTAGAAGGCAAAGGACATTTATAGAGGTCTAAATACAGGCATGTACATGTGTAAATATATATAACAATAGGGAAATAGATCTATGTACTTATATTTATATGTTAAGTATTAAGGTAGGAGACGGACATTGGGCCTCTACTCATGTCCTCCCTCAACGCAAGAACACTTTGTTCTAACAATCCGGCATTCTGTGATACTCACCTTCCTTGACACGATCGCTGAAGACAAAATAGGTGCATAAGCAAATGTGGTGAAGAAAGCTGATGATGCCCTGGTATCAAAACATATAGTGTCTGGGGTCTTAAAGGCGTGAAGATAAACAAGTGGCCATTTAGCTCAGAAGCAACAAAGACCACATGGAAGAAGCACCCCAGCATGGATGATCATAAGGTGTTGATAGGATCAGGTATCAAAGACCCAGAACAAAAAAATCATATCAATGTGAATGACGGGGAGTGTGGAGTGGAGACCCAAAGCCCATCTGTACACAATTGGACATCTCCTTATAGAAGGGTCACAAGCCAGTCAGGGTACAGTATAGCACTGATGAAACATACAACTTTCCTTTAGTTCTTGAATGCTTCCTTCCCCCCACTATCATGACCCCAATTCTACCTTACGAACCCAGCTAGACCAGAGCATGTACATGGGTATAGACAAGAGCTGAAAACACAGAGAATCCAGGACAGATAAACTCATTGAGAGCAATATTGAGAGTAGCCATACCAGAAGGGGAAGGGGAAGGTGGGGGGAGAAAAGGGGAACCGATCACAACGATCGACATGACCCCCTCTCAGGGGGATGGACAACAGAAAAGTGGGTGAAGGAATACAGTGGTTGGTGTAAGATATGAAATATATATATATATAAATTATCAAGGATTCACAAGAGAGGGAGGGGGGAAATGAACTGACACCAAAGGCTTAAGTAGATAGAAAATGTTTTAAAAATGATGATGGCAACATATGTACAGATGTGCTTGACACAATGGATGGATGGATGGATTGTGATAAGCGCTGTTAGAGACCCAAAAAAAATGATTTAAAAAAAAGATGTGAAACATAAATTAACATATGATCCAATTGGTACTCTTAGATATAACTAATATAATTGAGAATGTAAGTCTATGCAAATACTTCTGCACAAATTCTCATAGCCATATTATTTACAATAATGAAAATCAGAAATACTTCAAATGTCCATCAGCGGATGAATGGAAAAACAAAATATCATGAATCTATAGCATGGATTATGGATTATCCATTAAAAAGAATGAAGCATTCCTGCATGTAATGACAGGGACTAACCTTGAAACCATTACACCAAGTGAAAGGCGATAGACACAGGAAGTGCACCTGTGACCTGCTTCCGTTTATATTCACTGAGGAGAACAAGCACACCTGTTGGTCAGGAGTCAGATGAGGGCCTGGGGAGGCCTGAGGGAGGGGCACGTACTGGGAATGTGACTGTTGGTGTATAAGGAATTTCTTATGGGGTTAATGAAAAAGTTCGAAAACTGACAGTGGTGATGGTTGCACACGTCTGTGAATTTACTAAAAGTCATAATAGAACTGTATACTTTAATGGCTGTGGGGTACAACTTGCACCTCGATTAAGCACCTCACAAAAGGAGGATTGACCATGACTGTGACAAAAAGCACACAAAAACTTCCTTTTCACATGTGCTGTGGGAACAGGCTCACCAGAGAGGATTTCAGGCTAAAGCCATTTCTCTCGAGCTGTTTCCCTACATTGCACTGGGCACTGTTTGAATGGAAGCTTAGAGATGAGCAAAGTGGAGCATTTGGCAAATTGTTAAATCTAGTTCATTTCATCGGATATCCTGGCATAGATTCCCAAACTTATCTGGCCTACTGGTCCCTTTTCAGAAAAAAACCCAAAAACCTCAGCACCCCATGGCAATGAAGTACTTTTGTGCTATTACCCATCATCAGGATCAAGTGTGAGTGTCTGCTTTTGCAGCCCCCCTGGATCGTTCCAGTGCCTCCAAGGGCAGTCTCACCTACTTTGGAAAATAATGCTGCAGAACATAGACAATTGCCTTTCCCTTCAAATAATGAGGGTGCCTAACACCCAATGTTGATACGGCTTTGATTACAGTTTTTGAATTAAACATTTAGATCTTGATTAAAACTTTCACCGAATTATGATTTTTGCTATTATGCTAAGAAACTTGGTTTTCTAGCTTTTGGTTCTTTTAATCTCCCTCGTAAAGTGTAGAATTCAAATGAGACCAGTGTAGGAGTAAAACGGGCGTTCACCACGCCTGTACCCTCTGAGCCCTTCCCCTAGCCCAAGGTGGGCAGAGGAAGAGGTAGTTACATAATTTTGTCAGGTAGAAAGGTTGGGGTGGAAAACAAGCAATTATATCAATGCAAAAGAAGGGGGGTTGGAGTGTAGACCCAAAGACTATCTGTAGACAATTGGATATCTCCCCACAGAAGGGTTACAAGGAAGGGACAATTCAACCAGGGTGCAGCATAGCCCAGACGAATGCTTCCTCCACCCACTCCACCACCATGACCCAGTTCTACCTTACAAATCCAGCTAGACTGGAGTACACGCATTGGTACAGATAAGAGCTTTCCACACATGGAATTGAGGACAGATAAAACCTTCAGGAACAGTAGTGGAAGTAGCGATATCATTAGAGTAAGGGAATAGTGGGGAGTGGGGGAAGGGGTAGATAGGAGAAACCCATCACAAGTTTGGATATATAGTCCCTCACCAGGGGGACAAATAACAGAAATGTGGTGAAGGGAGACAAGGGACAGTGTAAGACATGAGACAACAATAATATAAGTGATCAAGGATTCACGAAGGTGGGAGCATATGGGTGGGAGAGGAAAATGAGAAGCTGATACCAAGGGCTCAAGTAGAAAGAAAATGTTTTGGGAATGTTGATAACAACATACAAGTGTGCTTAATACAATTGAATGATAGATTGTCATAAGATTTGTAAAAGTCCCCTAATAAAGCGATTAATAATAATAATTTAAAAAAAGAGGTAGGGATGGAGTCTAGCCCGTCAATCAGGTCCCAGCCTGAAGGTGCCTCCTTGTGGGCATGACCTACTCATAATGAGGGTCCTGGGAACCCCCCCCACCCCCCACTCTCTGCCTTCACCTTTCTGTTGATAAGCCATGCTGAACCACCAAGAGCCCTGGAGGGGCTTCCACTGACATTGGATCCACAGGACTTTGCACCCACCAGCCAGTGATGTTCCTGCGTCATTGCATACGGCTCCATAAGTCTGAAGAGAAACTTGTGGGCTAGCATTGGACATATAGATTTGAGTTGGACTGGGCTGGGATGTTTTCCTGATAAACAATTACTTCTTGATATAAAGCTCTTTCTTACACATATATGTGTGCCACTGGATTTGTTTCTCTAGTCAAGCCATCTTCACACACTAGTATTCACTGGAAAGCACATCTATGGCGCAGCCAGATAGTAAAAGGCAAGTATTTATATTGGCTGCTAGAAATAGACTTTGCCCTGCCCCTCACCAGTGCTCACACCACTCCATTGCCCTTTCAGACTGTTATCCCCCAGAATGCCCTAGAACTCCCAATTAAACAAACCACATGGCCAAGGCTTCCAGATCCTGCTGTTCTGATAGGTCTATGTTGAATAGGTATTTAAATACATTTTAAAAAATCATCACCCTTTTGTTATCAGGTGCCATTGAGTCGCTTCGACCTGGAGCCACCCTATGCACAGCGGACTAAAACACTGCTTGGCCCTACACCATCCTCTCAATTGTTCTTATGCCTGAACCCATTGATGGAGCCACTGTGATGTCCTTCTACAGCGACATGATGTCCTGTCAGGGTCTCACCTGACAATATGTCCAAAGTATGTACGATGAAGTCTTGCCATCCTCGCCTCTAAGGAACACTCTGGCCTTACTTCTTCTGATACAGATAGGATGGTCTTTTTAGCAGTCCATGGTACTTTCAATATTCTTCTCCAGCACCACAACTTGAATGCATTGACTAGTCTATGGTCTTCCTTAATCCAACGTCCAACATGGCTTGTGTCAGGTGCACACAAGTCCCTAGAGTAACATCCTTACTCTTCCAATACTCTAGAGAGGTCTTATGCTGCAGATTGACCCAATGCAATTCATGAGCACTGATTGTGGATCCAAGTAAGACAAAATCCTTGACAACTTCAACCTTTTCTCCATTTACCATGTTACATATTGGTCCAGTTGCCAGGATTTGGGTCTTCCTTACAGTGAGTTGTAATCCAAACTGAAGACTACAATCCTTGACCTTCATCAGCAAGTGCTTCAACTCCTCCACACTTTCAGTAAACAAGGTTGTATCATCTGCATACCGCAGGTTGTTAGTGAGCCTTCCTCCAATCCTGAAGCTGCACACTTCTTCATAGAATCCAGCTCCTCTGATGATTTCTTCAGCATATAGATTGAACAAGTATGGTGAGAGGATACAGCCCTGATGCCCACCTTTCCTGATTTTAAACCATGCAGTACATCGTTGTTCTGTTTGTACCACCGCCTCTTGATCCATGTACAGATCATCCTCATGAGCAGGATGAAGTGTTCTGGAATTCCCAATCTTCTCAAGGTTATCCGAAGGCAAATGCCTTCGCATAGTCAATGAAACACAAGTAAACAACTGTCTGGTATTCTCTGTTTTCAACCAAGATCCTTCTTACATCAGCAGTGATAGCCCTTGTTTCACGCCCTCTTCTGAATCCAGCCTGAACTTCTGGCAGTTCCTTGACAATGTGCCGCTGCAACCATTGTTGGGTGATCTTAAGCAAAATCTCACTTGTGTGCGATATCGATGATATCATTTTATAGCTTGAGCATTCTGTTGGGTCACCTTTCCTCGGAATGGACACTAGTAAGAAGCTCTTCCGGTCAGTTGGCCAGGTAGCTGTCTTCCAAATTTCCTGGCATAGACAAGTGAGTTCTTTCTGAAACATTTCAGTTGGCATTCCACCAATTCCAGAGACTTGTTTTTGGCTAATGCCTTCAGTGCAGCTTGAACCTCAACCTTCAGCACCATTGATCCTTGCTAATATGCTACCTCCTGAAATGGTAAATTGTTAAATAGGTCTTTCTGGTCCAGTATTCTGTCCATCTTCTTTGCACCTTTCAATATTTTGCCTATAGAATCTTTAAAAATTGTAATTCCAGGATTGAATTTTTTCTTGAATTCTTTCTATTTAGATATGCTGAGCATGTTCTTCCCTTTTGTTTTTCTAATTCTAGGTCCTTGCACATTTCGTTATAATATTTGGCTTTGTCTTCTCGAGCTGTCCTTTGAAATTTTCTATTCAGCTCCTTCCCGTCATCCTTTCTTCCATTTGCTGTAGTACTCTACACTTAATAGCAAGTTTCAGAGTCTCTTCTGACATCCACTTTGATCTTTCCTTTCCTGTTTTTCTTTTAATGGCCTTTTGCTTTCTTCATGAGTGATGTTCTTGATGACCTCCCACAGCTCATCAGGTCTCCTGTCATTAGTGTTCAATGAGTCCAATCTGTTCTTGAGACGTTCTCAAAACTCAGGTGGGATAGACGCAAGGTCGTATTTGGCGTCTGTGGACTTGTTTTAATTTTCTTCAGCTTTATCCTGAACTAACATCTGAGCAATTGGTAGTCTGTTTCAGAGTCGGCCCTGTTCTGGTTTTGGCTGCTGATCCTGAGCTTCTCTATCCTGCCTTCCCACAGATGGAGTCAATCTGATTTCTGTGTGTTCCATCTGGGAAGTCCATGGATATAGTTGCCTTTTGTGTTGTTGAAAAAAAGGTATTTGCTTTGAACAAATCCTTGGTTTTGCAAAATTCTATCAGGGGATCTCCAGCTTCATTTCTATCAAGTCCATATTTTCCAACTACAGTTCCTTCCTCTCTGTTTCCAACTCTTACTTTCCGATCACCAATAACTGTCAATACATCTTGGTTGCATGTTTGATTAATTTCTGATTAAAGTCCTTGGTAGAATTCTTCAATTTCTTCATCACTAGCTTTTGTGTTTGGTGCATACATTTGGATAATAGGTGTATTGATTGGATTTCCTGAAGTCAGATAGATATAATCCAGTCACAGGTAGCATTGTGCTTCATGATGGATTTAACAAGATCCTTTCTGACAATGAATGCCACTCCATTCCTCTGGATTGTGTTATTCCCAACTTAGTAAATCATTTGATTTTCTGATTCAAAATGGCCAATACCAGTCCATTTCGGTTCCCTAATGCCTAGAATATTGCTCTTCATGCATTCCATTTCATTTTTGACCACTTTCCATTTTTCTAAAAATCATACTTCACACATCCCAAGTTCCAATCGTTAGCTGATTTTTGCAGCTGTTTCTCTTTACCTTGAGTCGTGCCCCATCAGCAGTGAAGATCCCAAAGGCTCCACTCTCACAGTCACCATGGTCGACTCCCCTCCAAGAAATCATCTCTTCAGTCACATTTCAAGTGCCCTGGGACCTGAGGGGCCCATCTGCTGGTAATATCCCTAACAATGCTCTGCTTCCTTTGTTGAGGATCTCAGTATTTGACTCTGCTTCCAAACTTTGCACAAAGTTTTCAGTGGCAGCTTCTTCCCCGGAAGTGGCGAGTGGAGTCCTTGTTCATTTTCCGTTCTTAGTCTGGAAGCTGTGCTGAGACCTGGTTGCTTAGAGCCGTGGTTCTCAACCTTCCTAATACCGCGACCCTTTAAGACAGTTCTTCATGTTGTAGTGACCCCCATCCAAGCATCAAATTATTTTTTTTCATAAAATTATTTTCGTTGCTACTTCAGAACTGACATTTTGCTACTGTTATGAATTGGGCAAAAGGGGTCGCGACCCACAGGTTGAGACGCGCTGACTTAGCGTGACCCTGCTGGCATGTGAATTACCAGTGACATAGCTTCCAGCATCACAGCAACACACAAGCCCCCACAGTACGACAAACTGACAGACAAGTGGTGGATCACCCTCTCAGCCAGTCGAAAACTGTCCCTACAGAAAGCCCAGACCTTCCCCAAGTCTATGTCCCCCGTCTCCAAGCTTCCTTACTGGTACTGGGTGCTGAAATCCCTCCTTTTGCAGGCCACACACTCAGCCTCACACGATTCCTGCCCCTGCCTGCCCCACGTGCTAATTTCCTATCTCTGTCACCTATAAATTCGACCTCCCAAATCACCGAAGATTTGCCGCAAGATGCCAGCAGTCACTGACAAAGTATAGAGAGCCATGCAAAGGTGGCGTCTTGGTGTGCTTTGCCATTTACTGGCAATCGGATTTCAATATACTTATATTCCCTAGAAATAATCAGACAAATCTTTGAGCAAATTACATGGGGAAGGAGCTCGTATATCCGAGCAAAGCCCTGGAGGCACGGAACGCTCACTCATTTCCTCCTATAACATGGTCTCGTCTTTGGCCCCAGATGAGAGAACCGGGGCCAGTTGGAGGTCACGGCCTTCGGTGGCATAGAGACACTCACCATCACATTCTGCACGTCTCCTTTCATAAGGTGGATCTTCAGGCCTTCGGGGGACACCAGAACGTTGCTGGTTCCAGGATCATTTATCGGCATGGGTTGGCTTGCTGCTGACACACTAGGCAGGAGAGTATTAGTAGGCTCTGGTGCTTTAAACATAGTTTTCACCGCTTTAGCAAAAGCCTCGACAGTCTTCTCAGATGAATCCACAAGGTAAATCTCTTTCAAAGTGCGCCCATCCCTGTGGTACAGGAAGTTTTCCTTGATGGCCACCACAATGGTCTCCACACACTGATCCAAAGGAAAGCCAAGAGATCCAGAACTAATGGCTGGGATAGCAATGGACTGAGCCTTGTGTTTTTCAGCCAGACTAAGGCTTTCTTCCACGACTTTCCTTAGTAGGTACAGACACCTCGGGACATCAAGCGCGTCCCACCGGGGCCCGACTGCATGGATCACATGCTGGCATGGGAGCTTTCCGACTCTGGAGACGATGGCGCTGCCTGGTGGGAGCGGGCCCTTCACCTTTATTAGGCGGTCGCAGTCAGACTGCAAGTCAGGGCCGGCAGCTTTTGAAAGTGCACCGGCAAGGCCCTTGTCGTGCTTGAGGTCCTTGTTCGCCGCATTCACCACCACATCCACAGGAAAGTGGGTCAAGTCGCCCCGCTGAACCAGCAGTGAGACTCCAGGAGCCAAGAGAGCCTTAGCACAGCCCTGCTGCCCACCTGCGTGGCCACCACCCTCCCTCCCCTCATCTTCCTGAAGGTCAATAAAACAACCGAAGCGCCTTTTGGTCTCCCCCTTATAATAGCGGTCTTTGTCCAGGAAGAAGTGACGGGCTGCTGGAGTATTGATGCAGATGCTTTTCAGACAGACTGAATCCTGGATTTCCTGGATAATCTTTACTCCTTCCAGGACTTTGGTCTTTGAGCCAATTAGTAAGATGCTTTTTCCCTTATTCTCCACATTGAAAATCACCTGCATGTTTTTCTTAGTCTTTATTTTTGACCAAATGAGCTTCTTTTCTGACCTGATATACTGAGCCACTAAGGAAGACTGTAGTTCAATCGATCTCTCTATTTTTGTGTTTTCTTCAACAAAGGCAAAGAGTACTTTATAGATTTCATTGACCTCTCTCACACAGCCCGCTATGATGATCTCAGCTTTGGTGTCGGAAGTTACCTCATCGATGGTCACAGTTGTGGATGAGGAATTATGTTTCTTATGCAAACTATGAATATGCCCTTTCCATTTCTTATCTTTAAGAACGTCCCTGTCCTCAATTTCAATGCGTTTATAATGTAAGGCATTGGCCATTTGTTGTTCAGCATCTAGCAGGCCTTTAACAGAACAGCTGGTTAGGAGCACAGCTGCATGCTCTAGCTCATAAATAGCTAGGATTTCCTTTGCTATGAAGAGAGACATCGAGAATTCTTCACTGTCTATCTGCTTCAGAAACTGTAAAATCTCCAAGGGCACCTGAAGGCTTTTCTGAACCATGGAGTGCACCTGCTCCTGAATGTTGCACTTCATTCTATACACATCAACCTGGGGCCCTTTCAGGAACATGTGCCCAGCGCCGGCATCATAAGAAATCTCTACCTCCGGACACTGTGTGTGTGGATCCTTCAGTAAACCACAGAGACTCAAAAGGGAATATTTTCCTGGAGAAATGGCCATTTTCTCCTTCAGGCTCTGCTCTTCCCGTTTCACTTTTTCAACAGTGCTTTCTATTAAGGTCTTCATTTGTGGCTCGATGCTTTGCACATCCTCTGAGTTCCCTGCAAGGGTAACCGTCTCCCCAACTGTATCATACTCAATCAAAACCTTGTCATCTTCAAAGTCATCTTTTATGGTGTTCCATATTTGGGGGTCCACGTGCATTGTGATAACTTGATATTGAGATACAATGGCCCAGAATGCTGTGGAAACATCTTCACTCCATGTAGCGATTCTTGGTCTTCCTTGATTGACTAAGGTGGCTGCAGGCCTGATGGTGACAATACCACTGGGTGGGGCCCAGGTTAGCTCACAATGGTAACGCCCCATTTCATTGTCTATCTCCTCAATCAGGTGCTTATTTTTCTGTAAGAACTTCCATAGAGGAAGAGGCACTGACTTTTCCAATGGTGCTGGAAGCTTGATCATGGGCTTCTCCTTGCCGTACAGGGCCGTGCCCAAAGAATGATAGTATGGGAATATAGAGAGTGGCATGTTATTGAAGATAAGTTTCTTGGTCAAGATGGTGTCCAGCACTGGAAAGGAAAGAAATGAAAATAAATCAATCCCAATGAGATATAATCCAAATCAATAAAAACTTTCTTGTTCTAGAGGGGGTGAAACTTAAGTTTATGAATCTTTATTAGAAAATGACACCACTCCCAATGTGTTCAAATATCAATTTACATTGACTAACACTGCACCAAAAAAATAACACCCTGAAAAGTCAAATTCATTACCATCAGGTCAAATCCAACACATAGCAACCCGACAGAACAAAGTAGAACTGCCGCCAAGGGCTTCCACGGCTGTAGACCTTTAGGAATCAGATTGCTACATCTTTCCCCTGTAGAGAGGCTAGTGGGTTCAGATCATTGCCTTTTGGCTAGCAGCTGAGTCCTTAACCGCTGTACCACCAGGTCTCCTCATAGTGCGCTGGTGTCCCTTACTTACGGGAGCCCTGGTGGTATAGTGGTTATGAGTTGGGCTGTGACTGCTTGGTTGGCAGTTCGAAACCACCAACGGTGCCTTGGGACGAAGACTGGGCTTTCTATTCCCATGAAGAGTGCCAGACAGTCTCAGAAACCCACAGGGGGTTGCTATGAGTCCGCACTGGCTCGATGGCAGTGAGCTTGGTTTGGTTATGACTTATTTAAGGAGTCCTTGTGCTGCCTCGGATTAAGCATCGGGCTGCTATCTGAAAGGTCAGAGGTTCAAACTCTGCTTCTCTGCCGGAAAAAGAAGAGTCTGTCTGCTTTGGTAAAGATGTACAGCTGTGGAAACTCACGGGGGAAGTTCTACTCTGTCCTATAGTGTCTCTCGAGTCTGATAGCAGTGCGTATCCCTTGCTTAATGGAATAATTATTTTCAAGTACATACAAGATTGTTCTTGTGCAATTCTATTAAGTGAATTTTATTTTTTTTCTGGTATTACCTATATCTCGCCACCATATTAAGAAATAGATATATTTGGTGACAAGCAAGGGGATACTGTTTTGCCCAGAATAAAGAATATATTGATACTCAAGGCAAAGCTCTCTAATTATCATACTACTTTTTTCTTCTTCTTGTACAGTCCAACAATTTTAGCCTTTACAGATGACTAAGATTCCGTGGAGACTTCTAAGGGGAAAAAAATTGTAACCATTACTATAACTTACCATGTGTCAGACACGTCTCTGAGTATAAGGGTAAGTAAAAAAGCATCGCTACAAAACCATAGAAACCGTCATTAAACAGAAATATCAAAATGTGAAGCCATTATTCGTGCACACCTGTCCCACCTAGATCTGTACACTTCTAAAGGGAGGGTTCCCAATTCTTAAATCCTTCCCTCTTCAATTTGCATGTCAAAGCACCAGTTTGGGCACCTTTAAGGGACTCAATCTGCCTTTTCCATGTTCTTTGAGGGGCAAGCACAGGGCTAGAAGGTAGATGGGGTAAGGCTTTGGATGGGATCTCTTAGGGCAGCCCTCGCTATCTTCAAGAATGGGTAGTTGCATTGTTGTGTGGGAAAGAATCGCTCAGCACCATTTTCCTGGACTTCGGCTCACAGTTGCAGTATTCGATTTCCACAGAACTTCTTCAGCCTACGTTCTTCAAGGAAATACCTAGATTATCCCTTGGGATCCCATAAAATCTATTGCCATAATCTTCCAGGTGGACTTCTCTATCTTTAATTTAACTGACCCAACTGAGGGCTTGGGACGCCACTGTGTTGGCGGGGCCTCTTTTGGAGGCAGCTAAATGAAACGAAGACTAGTGAATTACTGAAAGAATTTGTCTCCAGTCATCCAGGGATCACAGAGCCATGTTTCAACGTGGTTTCTGTGGAACGAACCTACGTATACATGAACGCGAATGCTAGTAGCAACACTTTTTTTTACTTACTGTTATACTCTGCACATGTTTAATTGATGTAACCCCCCACGCACACAACCTTTAAAGTACAGACACCATTGTTATCATGCATATTTTAAAAATGAGGAAACTGAGGCTGGGAAAGGTTAGACCCTGAACCGGTTATGTCGACTATCAAAACCTAAGCTAAGAGTCACATGAATGTCTCTCTGACTCCAGAACTCGTGCTCTTGTCCCTGGTAGGAGAGGTTTCGGACCAACATGATCCTAACGTCTCCTGAGAGCCCAGCCCCAGCAGCTCTGATTCAGCAAGTGCAGATTGCAAGGCGGGGACTCTGCACTAGACTGCATCACCTGTTTCCGTACTACAATCTCCGTCCTGAGCATTTACTAGGACAACCGCTCCATTGTGTGTGTGTGTGTGTGTGTGTGTGTGTCCTCTTCTCACTCCTTCAAACAATTCCTTTTTCCTTTAGTTTTTAGACAAGTACGAGGAGTCCAAGAGGAAGGGTTAAGAACAATAAACTCCAGAGATAACTTGGATTGAAATAGAGCTCTTTAGGGAAAGCTACTAAGAATAAATTCTCCAGTGTGTGATTGGCTTTGTATATATGCCCTTAATTGTGTTGCAAGCTCCCCCTTATATTCCTGTTTTGCTAAGTGTTTTTTATCAGGAATGGCTTTCAGATCTTTTCAAATGCCTTTTGTGACCACGTGGTCTTTTCCTTTGGTTTATTTATGTGGAGGATTCTGTGGGTGGTTTTTCTCCTGTTGAGCCACCCTTGCATAATTGGGATAAATCCCATTGGTCATGCGGCATCATTTCTGAAGCTATTATTGGTTTCTGTTGGCTAGGCTCTTATTGAGAAGGTTTACATGTATGTTCACGAGAGACAGAGATCTATTGTTTATTTCAGTTGCCTCACTTGGTTATCAGAATTCCATTTCATAGAAGGAGTTTAGAATTCCATCTTGCCTGTACTTTAGAAGAGTTTTAGTAGGATTTCTGTTAACTCTTTTCTGAAGGTCTGATAGAATTTACCAGTGAAGCTGTGTGGGCCTGGGCTTTCTTGTGGAGAAAGGTTTTGTTTTAATGACATGATCCATTCTTTTGTTATAGGTTTGTTCCAAGTTTCTACTTCAATTGGATAACCCCACCATTGGGGTGTGAGTGTGTGTGTGTGCATGTGTGTTAGTGTCAGTGTGATGATGTGTTTTGAGAAATGTGTTCATTCGAGTACAGTTCTTCATCGTGTTCTGTTATTATCCCGCTCAAGTTCAGGTGGCTCTGTTGTGGGAGAGGATTTGAAGCACTTGCAGATGAAGAGCAAGGTTTTCAGCCTTCAGTATGGATTCTTTTGTTAGATTTGGAAGCTCTGCCGCTGCTATTTCAAAGGCCACCAGGGTCATCCACAGTGGACAAGTCTCAACAGACTTTCTAGACTGAGAGCAGACGATAAGGAAGGAATAGGCCATCTCTTTCTGAGGGATTATGAATTACAATGGGGCACTGTCTGAAGCAGTGCTGACAGATGAGCCCCTTCGGATGAAGGTTCTCAAACTATGACTGAAGTAGGATCAGCATTAATGACACGGATGGACCAAAGCTTTTAGAACTATTATTTGCTGGCAAGGCAGAAGAAACAGCTGCAAATATTCATTAATTATCAGAACATGGATTGTATGAAGTGTGAATCTTAGAAAAATGGAAGTCATGTCAGAAATTACATGGAATAGATGAAAATCACATTAGTCAGCTGAAATGAACCGTTACTGGCCATTTTGAAGGGGGCAATCATGTGGCTTACTTTGCCAGGAAAATAAATTCGAGAGGAGTGGCATCGCATTCATCTCCAAAAAGAACAGCTCAAGATCTACTATTCAAGTGCAATGCTGTCGGTGGCAGAATCACATCTCTACACTAACAAGGAAGAGAAGTTAATACAACTATTCAAATTTCAGCACCAACCACTAAAGCCAATAACAAAGACATTGAAAAATTCTACCAACTTCTGCAGTCTTATATTGGTCAAACACATAATCAAGGTGCATTGATAATTACTGGTGTTTGATATTCAACAGTTAAAACAAAGAGCAAGGATCAGGAGCTGGAAAATACGGCATTGGTGATAGAGCCAAACTGAATGGAAATGCAAGGGTATTGAAAGAATTCTGTCTCGAGTGTTCAGTTCAAGCAGCACTGAGACACTGGCAAAAGCAAGGCTCTAGGAATTGATGGAAAGCCACCTGGAAGGCTTGAACGAATGAATGCGGTGCTAGAAGCCCTCAGTAATCCATGCTTAGCAATTTGGAAGACAGTCCCATGGTCAATTCACTGAAAGAGAGCCACATCTGTGCCTACTCCTAAGAAAAATAACCCAGAAGAATGCGGAAACTATATAACCATATCATTAATAGCACAGGCAAGTAAAATTGCTGAAGTAAAAGTTTTTAAATGGTTGTAGAAGTACAAGCAACCAGGAGGTGCCAGAAAGTCAAGCCAGCTTCAGAAGAGCATGTGAAATAATGGATATCATTGCTGACATCAGTTGGATCTTGGCTGAAATCAAGCAAGTGTGGGGGCAGGTCAGATGCGCGGGCATTCCCCCACTGAGGGCAATCAGTTGCCAGACTCCTGTCTCATCCCTCCACAGGGGTGGGCCTGCTCCCTGCCTCTGGGGACAATGGACAGGCTCCTGCAGGCGGAGTTTTCACCCTACTGATAATGTTCCTATGGAGACCCAGAGACCACCCCCTAGACCACCCTCTCATTGCTGTGTAACCTATAGTGCAGCCCCTTCCTGTGACAGATGTCTTTACCTGTAATTAGTGGGCTGGCTTGCCCCCAAAAGGTATATAGGTGTGTGTCAGCAATATAGATCTCTCTCTGACTCTGAGCTCCTTGCTGCTCACTCCCTGGTCACTCCCCTCGCCCTTGTTCCCTTACCCTCCTTCCCTTCCCCCTCTCTCCAGGTGGACCACTAAGCTGGGCTGAGGTGAGCAATGTTGCCATGTAACGTGTCTGACTGTATTATTGTATTATCTCTCATGCTCTTGATGACTTTAATATAATGCTTACATATCTCAACCGTACAATTGTGCATTACTGAACCCAGAAGTAGTATTACTGAATCCGAGTAGCAATAGGAGTAGCAGCGGGTGGGGGCTGGCCCTTCACCCTCCGTGCCAATTTTTTAATTTAATACTGCAAGCAAGATCTGAAAAATGTTGCCTTGTATTTTATGGACTGTGCAGAGGCATTCGACTGTGTGGATCATAACAAACCCTGGGTAACACTGCGAAGACGAGGAGCGCCACCAGCCTTCGTGCGCTCATGGGGGACTTGTACATAGACAAGCAACCGTCAGGCAAACAGAACAAGGTGATACTTCGTGGTGGAAAATCAGAAAAGGTGTGCATCAGGGTGGTATTCACGCCCCATACTTATTCAATCTATGTGCTGAGCAAGTAACTGAAAAGCTGGATTATATGAAGAAGGCACCATCAGCACTGGAAACGGGCTCACCGACCAGCTGAGACACGCCGAGGGCACGATCTTGCTGAGTGAAAGCAAAAAGGACTTGAAGCATTTACTGGTGAAGATCAGTGTGGGGTGCACCGTCATGTAGAGAAACAAAAGCCCCTCAACAGACATCATGGTAAGTGGGGGAAAAGGTTGAAGTTGCCAAGTGGAGTGTGATAAGAGTTGAATGAGCCCCTAATAAAATGATTTTTTTTAAAATGAACTGTAAGAGCCCCCAATAGAAAGATTTTTTTGAAAAAGATGCAATATTGTAAATAAATTATTTTTAAGCAAACTGCCCCTAGAGATGACCTCATTCATGGCCCATGGTAAGTGATAAAAAGATCCCACAAGGAAAAGTGACGCTTCAGGGGAGATGTAGGGGACACGGAGACATTAAGAGGATGGATAATGGAGCTAGACTACCTGGGTTCAAATCCTAGCTTTGTTCCTAGCAGTGTAAGCTCGGGCAAGATATCTAGCCTTTCTGTGCCTCACTTGTACAGTAAGGATGCTGATGATCACCGTACTCATAAGCGCCACTTTAGATGGGTGATATGCAATGTTAAGTTACAAGTATAAGAAGCAGCAACAGCTACAGAGCAAAAAGGAAAACCCGTGTCTCAAATGGAGTCCAGGGGACAAGTGAGTTTAAGGGAGGAGCCAAAGTCAGTGTAGTCCATGCAAAGAAGAGAGTGGTCTCTAACAACACCCGCACGGCTTTGTATTATTTGACCTTCAGCAGCCAGTGTGTTAAGCCCTCTTCACCTTTCATCATGCTTGGTAAAATAGAGGGTCAGCCAAAAAGTGGAAGGCTTTCGAGGAGACAGACTGACACGGTGGCTTCAAAAGGGGGCTTAACCATAGCAGCAATCGTAAGGGTGGCACAAGACAGGGCATGGTTCATTCTGTTGCACACAGGCTAACTGTGAATAGGAACTGACTTGACCGCACTTGGCAACATTACTAGTCATATGAAGACCCCTGGTGGTGCGGTGGGCTACGTACGTGTTGGGCTGCATAAGCCTAGGGTCAGTAGTTTGAACCCGCCAGTTTCTTTGCAGGAGAAGGAGGTGGAAGTCTGCTTCTGAAAAACTTACAGCCCTGAAACCCTATGGAGAAAGTCTACTCTGTTCTCCAGGGTCACTAGGAGTGGGTTCTCAGTCACAGACGTGTGATGTTGATTCTGAAGCACAGACTCCGTGTCTCCATGCCCTCAGCGTGTCTGAAGGCCCCGAGGCTCTGAACACCAAGGTCTCCCAGCTGAATGCACACGTGCCTCAGCGCGCTCGCAGTCGAGGTCTCTACACCCTTGTTAGTATTTCCCCCAGGTTTAGATGGACATGGTTTCCACCAGACCATTCTAAGCAACAATCACCTAGTATGTCGGCAGGGTTTTAAAGATTCTGAAAGGCATATGCACTTCTCAGTCCATCACAGGTGGGCGCTAATGAAGAAATCTAATGAAGAAATCACTTTATAGCTTCTAAAAACTTGATGTCACTGTCTTTAAGCGTTAAAATATGTACGTGGCCATACCACCCTGCCCACGCCTGATCTCACGTAAACATTAGAACCACTGCACATACTTATGAGGCAGCATCCCCTGGGTGGACAGGATTGCTCACTAGATTTCCAGTGAACTATGTGAACACAAATAAAATCCTCCTGAATTCAATCGACTGCTGAATATAACGCAGACCGCCAGAAGAAGAAACATGTCTGTCTTGCAAGAAGTCTCGCCAGAATGTTCCTGAGAGGAGAGGGTGGCGAGGCTTCCTCTCACCATCCTGATTTGGACACGCTCTCAGGAGGGAACAGGACCTGGAAAAGGACACCATGCCTGGCCAGGTAACGGGCCAGAGGAGGGACCTCCAGGAGATGCTCCGACACAGTGGCCGCAATGAACTGACCCACAATCAGCAGTAGGTGTGATTGTGGAGCAGGATGAGCAGGGTTCTACTCCGTGTATGGGGTCCCTACGTCTCGGAGCCGAATCAAGGACACCTAACCACACAACATCATTCCCGCCTGGTACAATCTCTCTAAACAGACTAACAGGTCCTACCTTTTCGGTCGGAAAAGCCAACTATAGCTGAACTCTCTTGAGGAAGGATTTGAACACTCTCAACTACTCCTCCTCCGTGATTGGGATTTTCAAAGAAAAGTTTTAAATAATAGTCTTCAACACCAGGTGGCAGGTTTTCAACTCTGATGGCTTTTGTTGCTTCCAGAAGTCTCGGGGAAAAGTCAAGTTGCTTGTCTGACTGATAGGTGGTGCACTTCTCCATAAATTTAATGATATCTACAAACAAAAAATATTTGAAAATTACAGTAGTGTCGGCCTGTATATTACAGACACATGTCTGACTATGAATGAAGATAAAAACGGACGAGTTAAGTACCCTATTTTTTAGACCGATGAATCCAGTTCCTATATGAAAACTTATACCTGTAAACCTCCTGGCCTCGGAATAAAATAGGATACACCTATTTTATTAATATTTTAATAACTTAGTCCCATTGATCTTGCATCCCTGTCTGCAGTCACAGCCCTCCCCAACCCACCTGGACACCGTCACGCTGTCGATCAAGTGGTCCCTGCAGAGTGCAAATCTCATCACTTGACTCCTTCCTCACATCCCAGTACTACATGTATATTTACACACCGTGGCCGGGCTTCCCTTACCTTTTGCTATTTGGGTCCAACATACCGTCTGAGAATTACGTTCTTCTCTGGCTATTCCTTATCGTTCATCTTATTTTCCATGTTGTCACGAAAGCTAGCCATGGTCTCTGAAAACCCTCCATTTTCTTTGAAACCTTTAAAATGTCTTTTCAACACTACTTCCTGTGCTGGAATGCCCTTCTTCATTTTAAAAATGTTAATCCTTTAGGGCTCAGCCCAAGTATCTCTTTCAAATGAATCAGTATCGATGGCAGACCGACCAGGTGCCGGGTGCTGTGTTAGGTTCTAGTGGCTCAGAGATTAGTGCGGGAGGGCTTCATCCTCAGGAAGTTCCCCACTCGTCATGGATCACTTTTTTAAATAAATCATTTTGTTGGGGGTCCTTACAGCTCTTATCACAATCCATACATCAACTGTATCAAGCACATTTGTACATAGGTTGCCATCATTCTTTTCTAAACATTTACTTTCTATTTGAGCCCTGGGTATCAGCTCTTTTTTTCCCTCCCTCCCGCTGGACGACTTCTTGAAACCAAACCAATGACCTCCTGTGGGATCAAGTGAGGTGGGAAAACTGATCCTGGGAAACACAGAAGGATTCCCAGACTAAGCAGTCTCTATTCTGGATGTAAAAGATGAAGAGAGGTTTATTCCACAGCTGGGGCAGCAGGCATTTCAGGCAGAGGGAACAGCAACGGCATGAACGAGAACAGTGCATTTTGGATCTGATTAACGGCTAGTGCAGGGTTATAAACTCCGTAGGCAGGAGCAGGCAGGGCAAGACGCCATGTCATCCTCACACCTGTTGCATATTCATTTCATCCACATAGGGATTTCCCGCTCCGCCCCTAGGCTGTGACTTCCTCAAAGGCAGGAACCATGGCGGCATCAACCGCAGTGGCATTGTGAACAAGCATTAAGCTGCCAAACACTAGGTCAGTAGTTTGAAACCAGCAGCTGTTCCTTGGGAGACAGATGAGCCTTTCTACTCCTGTAAAGAATTGTACTCTCAGAAACCCACAGGGGCAGTTCTACCCTGTTCTATAGAGGTGCTATGAGTCCGAATTGATTCAATGGCAGCAAGTCTGATTATTGGTGGTTTTCTTCTTTTTTTGGTACCCACGACAACCAGACCAGTGCCTGGCACATGGTAGATGCTCAAGATTTTTGATCAATTGGCAAAACCAAGTCTATGTGGTTTTACCTTTATCATCATAAATTTGAAATACAATTGTTGCCTTTATTCAGTCCTTACCATATCTTGGCAATATATAAGCGCTTTTCAAACATCTCATTTAATCTTCCTAGAAACTCTAGTAGGTATGATGCCCATTTCATAGGTGAAGAACCTAAGGAACAAAGAGGGCAGTAGCTCGGCCGCCTCATGGAACTACGTACAGGGCAGAACTGGACACCGACTCCAAGTCCTCTACTCTTAATTGACCACTCTGCTGCCCCGGCATTGGACTAGCGTTGGCTTAGGATTGGAAAATGTCTTTGCTGTGGGTGCAAGTGGTGCTTCCCCGGCTCCTTGATTGTCTACAGACTACCTTCAACGTCTCCCCAGTCTCTGTGAGTGTCTACAGACTACCTTCAATGTCTCTCCAGTCTCTGTGATTGTCTACAGACTACCTTCAACGTCTCCCCAGTCTCTGTGAGTGTCTACAGACTACCTTCAATGTCTCCCCAGTCTCTGTGATTGTCTACAGACTATCTTCAAGGCCCTAAAAGAGCATTCATTCTTCACACAACACGCATGTACTCATCCCTGCATTTGTGAAGGAAATACATGGAGTGAGAGAAGAGACTGCCTGGGCTCAAATCCCAGTTTTCCCGTTTAGTAGTACCCCTGAGCTTCTGTCTCATAAACTGTAATGTGGGGATAAAAATAATCATCTCATACGGTTTTTTAAAAGGATGAAGTGTCACTTGCTCTCAACAGCAACATCAATATGTCATATTAATTCCACTTGTAAGTGGTTGCTGTTTGCTGACAGCCCACTTATGTTTTCCATTAACAAATGAGTTTATAGATGTAATAAGCTTAGAATAGCAAACATGGCATGAGTGTTTGCTATTATATTATCTTCCAATCGTCCTTTCCAGGAATACTGATTGATGAATATTCTGAAGGAAACAGTATAGGTGAAAATGCTGATTCCCCAACTTGGAATGCATCTAGGGCTTCTAAGACTGAATCTGGACAGGACAGACAGCCAATCTTCCATCCGTGGAATGGCTGGTGGGTTTGAACCATGGATGCTATGGTTAGCAGCCCAATACCTAGTCCACAGTGCCTCATGTACTAAATGTATCAAAGCAAATTTCTTTCTCTTTCAAAATAACTTAAAAAGCATCTATATTAAGTTGAGGTCCTCTTATGAGTTATTAGAACTAGTCAAATTTCCAGAGATAGTACATTATCAAGATACTCTCAAATCCCAGCCCATCAGCCATGGGGTCAGTTTTGCCTTATACACTCTAGGGCAGAATAGCACTGCCTCGTGGGGCTTCCAAGGCTGGGGACTTTACAGAAGCAGACTGCCTCTTCTTTCTCCTCTGAAGTGGTCAGTGGCCTCGAATGTTTCTGTGGTCAGCCCAGTCCTTACCCACTGCACTCCCAGGCCTCTGTCTCAAATACTGGCCAGTGAAATGTCTGTGGCTCTTACCTATAGGTCTTTGAAAAATAACAACAGCAACATCAAGATCTCGCATTAATTCCACTTGAAAGTCATTATTGTTTTCTGACAGCCCACTTATGTTCTCCACGAACAGTATTAACATGATGTCATTCACGTGTTTCTTCAGATTTTCAAATGCAACCAAAAACGAAACGTTTTCACATTCTTCTGGCGTGGCTTCCATGTTTTCACCTCTTTCTTTAAGAGAGAGTTTTGAATCCAGCTCTTTAGAAATAGCTGCGCCTAGGAGGGGAAAGGAGTACAAATGTCATGTTGCCTACCGAGGTCTTAGCTGAGTAAGTTCTTATAAGATATTGCCTTCTGTCCTTCTCAATGTCTTTACTAGCTCAAATGAAAGCAGATTTGATATGTATTATTCTGGCAGATCTGTGTCTGACATTGCCAGTGAATATTATTGTAAGTTTTGCCTGATCACCAACTTCCTCTGTTTGTGTAAATAGTGTCCTGTCACATAAGGATTTAATCGGTGCAAGTCAATAATCTGTGTATTGTGATTTGTAGTTAGCCTACACTTGCTTAATCTTCCTTTCTCAATCATGTTTTTAATACATTACCATTGGCTAAATCAATGACACTATAAACAGATGGACCTTATGCTCCAGGGAAATGATCCATAAGATCATTTAAAATAACAAAGATGTCTCTAAGGTGAACCAGGGGGAGATAGAAAAAAGATTTAAGAATGGATCTGGGGCTTGCACTTAATCCTAACTTCAATCTAAGAACAATTAGTTCTCACAATGTGAGAATGCCTGAACTTGCCCTCCAGAAGAAACCATGGGAGATATGGATGCAACAGCAAAGTGTAATGAAGAAATAAGGTGGTACCCAGCTATCAGAAACAATAGCACCTGGGGTCTTAAAGTCTTGTTTTCAAACAAGCAGTCATCTAAGTGAGCCATCAAATAAACCCACATGGAAAAGCACATCAACATCTGTGATCCTAGGATTGTAAATTATATAATCCAAATTCAAAGGAGGGAATAGTATGGGATCTTAAATTGTGAAATTCTGGTTTGCAGAAGGTTATGGATGACAGTGGAAGCCCAAAATACATTTGCAGGATCTGTGAATAGAATAAGCCTCTCTTGATTTCCCTCTGACCATAATGGAGGAATGGGAATGACCTGGTATCAGACAAACAGTATTATAGAAACAATCAGTAGATTAAAACGATAAATCTGACTTGAATGGTTAAAACTTTGTCATTTGACCTTCCTTTCGATACAGTTTGAGCTTTTGGGTTTTTTTTTTAATTATGGTTTATTTATGTTGTGTTTTGTTATTGTTGGTAACCTTCTTGATTCTGTTTTGTATTTTTCTGGGCTTTTTTGTATAGGAAATCAAGATGGGCAAATCTATAGAGATAAGAGGTCTGGGGGGGGTGCTAATGGGGGTGCTGACATCAAGGACTACAAGAAGAAAGGAAATGTTTTGAAACCGATTGTGGTAGAGATTGTACAACACGGCTTGGTGTGACTGAACTATTGAATGGGATCATATCCTGATGTCCCAATAAAACGGTTTGGAGGTGGGAAAGCAGGTATTGAAAGATCCTTTAGCTTTATTTAATTAAAAATAAAGTGTAGCTTTAACATTCAGAGCATTTGGTTACTATCATTAGAGCCAGGACTAGGCAAAAACAGATTAGGAGACATGTCTAACATCTCTAGGACAAGGGAGTACATAGAAAACATTTTGAATTGATCTATGTATTGTGATGAATTGTATGAGCCCCAATAAATTGATTAAAAAAGAAAGAAAGAAACCAGTCTTAAAAGAAAAAAAAATGATATGAAAATAATAATTTATAATTTATCAAGGGTTCATGAGCATGGGAGAGGGAGGGGAAATGGAGCTGATATCAAGGGCTCAAGTAGAAAGAAAATGTTTTGAAAATGATGGCAACATATGTACAACTGTGCTTGATACAACTGACATATGTATTGCTATAAGACCTGTAGGAGCCCCCAATAAAATGCTTTATAAAAAAAAGAAAAAGAAAACATTTTGAGATTGTAAGCAAATCTGAAACTTACGTCTAAAGACATAAGTTAAAACACAGTCAAGTTAAAATCTATGAAACCACGAGAAACATGGATTTCTAGATTTGTGGAAATAGTACAGGAATAAACATACAACCACAAAATCCATTCTTGGCTCTTAGATTTGTATATTTGAACTGACACGGTCATTTAAAAAGAAGAGAATGTTTCAGGAACTGCAACAACCAGCGCTGGGCTCTGGGTAACCCACTCCCAGATCTGAAGACTGGAGCGTAGCGATCCTTTGAAGAATCTGGACCTTCTTCAGAAAACCACCCACATAGATTCTACAGCTTAAGGGCACCTCCACCTTGGTGTTGTTGGCTGCTGTTGGGCATAGAAACCAGACGCAGAACAGGACTCACTGCCCAGAACACAGTGCGAGCTGGCTTAGCCAGCTCCAGCAACCCCGACACGTCATGCAGGTTCTTGCTTCGCCATCTCAGCTGGACAGGGGGGGG